TAAACAAATTTCATTTTTTATATAGAACGTTAAAAAATTAACTTTTACATAGAGAGGTCTGACTGTATATGGCGCAGTAGTCATGTGAGTGTGACCTTCGAAGGTCACGTCCACGTGTCTTATACGAATGATTCTGTCGGGGGTTTGTCCGGAATTTGAGATATTACATTTAATTTACTAGTGATGGGCAACGCGTGATCCCGCACGTGATGCATGGGATACGAAGTATAAAATGAATGCTGCTAGTAGGCCCGAAATATTATTCCGAAAATAAGAGAAATTTTTTGGGCTGTTAGTGTTGTACAATAATTTATAACCAGACATTTCCTAAAGTTGTCATCTCTTAAATTGTTCAAATTGTGAAAAATTCCTAGGAAGAATATCCATCGTCACCATGGTAACCACACCCCCCGATTCATTTTTTTATTTTTCTTATAGGAGTACATGTAGTACAAATCGAACATTATGCAAACAAGTGAACCAATAAAAATGTTGTAACTGAAATTGCACCTGGTTTCTTAGTGAATTTTATTGGATAGTTTTAGCTTCAGCATTAAACTGCGACAATTTTATGTACAGTAATTTATCGATAGTACATAACTTACTACTGTATTTAATAAATTGGTATATATCTGATATATACTGTAGTATAGATTATACTCTATACCGTTTCACAAACACATTATCATAATGCCTCAGACTTCTGTGATTTCAGGGATTTGTTATTGTTCAATCGCACAATTCTGGACACTCTAAGTAGATGGTGCTTTGCAAAACATGTAACCTTCCTGATTCTACGTATTATTATCAATAGTAATTGAGGTTGTGTGATTGCAAAGTTCAAAGGCTAATGAAGTGTTGCTCATTCGTGGTTACACGATTTGCAATAATCAAGAATTATACCTGAATCAGGTCTTAACAATGGTATACATGTGACTTATGAATTATCTGATCTTAAATTTTTTTTTTGGCAATGTCTCTTAGATATTTTGTCCGCTACGAGCATTATCCTTATATTATTTATAATGCTCACATTAATCTTAGACACACAGTTTACAATGTTATGAATGTGACATGCCATCATCCACATCGCGGGTTCCGTACTACGAAAAGAACCCTTTTGAGCTTTGATAATATGAAAATTGATCCATATGATCCATTTATTGTTAAAATTCGATCAAATCCGAAAATTCTTTCATCTATCAAAGAATTTGTTCAACTCTTGCAAAGCAAAGGAATTGATCTTACTAGTGGTCAAACGCCGTCAATGATGCAGATGGCTAGACTCGCAACTGATAAAGAAGTGTCAGAAAAATTGGTAGTCATTGATACGCAACTTCGTGAAGCTGGTATCGTGCTCGATGCGGAAACTGCTCAGAAGTTTATGAACTTATCGAGTAGCCAACAAGTTTCCAAAAACACAATAACAAGTGCACCGCCAAGTTTAGATGCAACTGCCGAGTCTAAAATGATGTCGAAAACAAATACAAAACAAAGTAATCCAGATGTTGTAACGGCTAAGCCTCAGGAAGCGATTGGATTTGTAGAGAAAATCAAACACTGGTTTGGCGTAAAAAAATGATAGGATTTATTTTATAATGTTAAAAAAGTCAAAAAGTTCTTTCTTTTTTTTTTTTTTTTTTGGCTTTGGATCAATCATCAATCACTATGAGCAAAATAAAATTTTATTCATTCATTAACGCGATATTTCTGAAACATCTACAAACATACATCTTTGAGAAGTAGATTATTAGCCTTATGTTCCTATTCACAACTTTATATTCACCTAAATTTCTACGTAGTAATGCTCCAATTATGAATGATTCTAACGAAAATAAACAAATAATCATTGCAGTATGCATCAATTAGAATTATTGATTAAGGATTAATTGATCTCGTGATCAAAATTTTCATGCATTCGAAATGATTGTACAACGTATTCAAACATACTATATTCGTAAATATATATTTGAATACTAAATATTCATTAAACTTTGCAATTGAAATTATTATCATATGAAATATTCATAGAACATTATAATCATAAACATATCGAATATAAACAAGTTTCTTTAAAACCCATGAACCTATGATAGCTAGCGGTGTCTTCGCAACTGTTGTGCTCGCAAAGACGGCGATGCGTGCGAGGTCTAGAAAGAGAGAATCTTCCCAATCCTCTTTACTATTTGAAGACTGGAATATAAGTTTCAACTTACCTCCAAAACTTATTGTGAGGTGTGCTGTTTGTTGGCGTCGGCGCACTGCAAATGGTATTTAAACTTTCTTTTATTTTATAAATTCTTCTTTACACTCTTTTTAACTATTTAAATAACTTTCTATTTATATTAAAGGTTATTGGTGTCAATACTGTGAATCTCGTAGATTTCGCGAAAATTTTTCTATCTGGACAAGTGGAAATAGATTTATTGATGAGTTTATCCAAGAGACTCAATTAAATTCTATTTGGTGGGCTGGTTATTTAGAATGGATACCTTTTAAAAGATTTCAGAATGTTGAATACATCGCTAAAGGTGGTTTTGGAAGCATTTATTCCGCTATTTGGGTTGATGGCCCTAGATGGGAATATGTTCCAAATGCTGAAGGCTTTTTAGGAAGTATGTGGAAAAGAAAAGGTGCTTGTAAAGTTGCTCTAAAAATGCTAGATAATTCTAAAGACATTCGTCCTGAATTTTTACATGAGGTTAGTTTTTATTCTTAATTATTATTATTTGAGTTCGTGAGAGTAAAAACTTGCAGCTACATTTAATGATTTACTATGATAAGTCTCAAGTTCACTATTTATAGAGTTCCAATCCGGATAAATCCGTCATCCGTTTAATTATCCGGATAATTCAGATCGCTCGGATATCCGGATAATCCGACAGATATACGGATAATCATCCGGATATCAATAATAAATGGATATCCGAATAAATTCAGATCGGATAAATGCTTAATGGATTGGAACTCTAATTATTTATTTAAATTTCTAACTTTAATATTTCCATTTAGCTCAGAGCTCATTATAAATGTCTTTCTTCTGGACTAGTGCTTACTTGTTATGGCATTACCCAACACCCTGATACAAAGGATTATATGATGGTTATGGATTACGCAAAACAGGGCGACCTTACCTATTTTTTGCGTACTCATATGGCAAATGCTGACTGGTATCGTAAAGTTCGTGAATTATGGTACATTGCTCAAGGATTAAAAGCAATTCATGATGCGGATTTAGTGCACAAAGATTTTCATAGTGGAAACATATTGTTTAACACATTTACTCGGTATATACTTCTTAATATATTTTGATAATGTTGTTGAACTCAATTTTTTTTAACATTGATATCTTTATGATCATTATAGTCGACCTGCCATTGGTGATTTGGGCTTATGTAGACCCGTTAATGAAGAATTATCAAATTCACATGAAAAACCTGTATTTGGTGTCCTTCCTTATGTTGCTCCAGAAATCCTCTTCGGTAAACCTTACACAAAAGCATCTGACATTTATAGCTTCTCAATGGTTATGTATGAAGTTTCTACTTTAAAAAAACCATGTATGTCATATAATCTGAAAAAAAAAAAAATTTTTTTTAATTAAAAAAAAAAAAAAAATATTAATTTTATATATATATAACAAAGATTGTAATTTTGCACATGATGCTTCATTGGCTTTGGAGATTGCCAAGGGACTAAGACCGCAAATATTAGAAGGAACTCCTAAAAAATATGTTGAATTAATGAAATTCTGCTGGCAAAAAGATCCAGAAGGACGACCTAATGCAGCCGAATTAGTGAAGAAATTAGAAACGTTAATGAATGATCAAGAGATTAATAACGGTGTTGTGCCTGCTATGCGTATTGATGAGGCTTATCATCCTGATGCTGTATATACAAGTAGGGCTTTGCAGTTTCCAAATTTGAAGAATGCTAAGTTTGATTCCAACTCTGGAGATATTGAAAATGATACAAATGGTAAGAATATATCATACTGTTATACTATTAAAAGAAACTTTTTCTAACGATATTTTAAAATTATCAATTTGCAGTATATATAACCAAACAATTTGAACTATCACTAGAAAATCTTCCACTTGATTAATTTTTAATTAAACTTTTTATATGTAACAAAATAATAATACTAATATATATTTTGATATCAGTTTAGAGCAGCGATAGATATTACGTAATATATCTTATGTTCCAAATCAGAGAATTTGATTAGTGAAACCATTTTATCTAGGTTCACCGTGTGATTAATGATGTCACGTAGTGTCCTTATACTTGTTGGCAAACAGATCCCAACCCTCAAAAAACAATTTTGGATTTGAGAGTGGACAAACTAATTTTATAAAGTTTGGAGATTTGTCATCAAATAGACATTTTATTTTAATATACGCCGTTTTTTTTTTTTTTTAAAAAAAAAAAAAATTCTGGTACAGTATTATTCCATTCATTATAGCATTTGTTTTTAAAAAATATTAAACTGCAGCTTTATAGAAATTTTTTTAATTATGGAATTAGTTATTATTGGTAATTTATTATCAAAATTGTTTTCAATTTCAGTATTTTTATTAGATAAAATTACATATGCATTTTTTTTTGAAAAAAAAAGCTTGGTGCAAAAACATTGAAATTGACTTTTCGACCCAGCATTGTACGCGGAATATTTTATCGATTTGCCTCATGTTTCCACATAATATAAAATTCTTTGGTTTATGAACATAAACTAGTAGCCTTCCTAATCAATATATCAAATATTGCAATCAAATTTTTTGCTTAATTGGTTGATTAACAATCATATATGACAAATCGAATTTTCAAATTCATATGGGTGTTGTAAAGGAAACCTCGGAATTCTTATAAGATGAAAAATTCAGGCCAAAAAAAAACACTAACCTATATATATGTAATATGTACAAAACATATATATAAAAAAAAAACTTTTATCTAGTGTATCTTCAGATTCCCTATAAAAATATATTAAAAATCGTGTGAAAAATGTTTATTGCCAATCATATTTTCGCGTCGTGTTTAATCGTGTTACCACGCGACTAAATCTGGCTCATTTCCTTTTTAGGTAAAAAACTAAATAAATCCTTCACGTTTCTGCATCGCACAAATAAGTACGTGTCTAAATTCTTTGTCAAGGTTTTCTAGAGCAAGACCATGTTTGATAAATTGATTGTAAGTTTCTTTTCTTTAAAATGTCTGGCACTTAAGAAATTATCAAAATCGTATAAATAACTGTCTTGTTTGTTCGAACACCATAAATAAGGTCTCTGAAATCTTCCAAAAACTTTAAACTATGGATGGATTTCAAAGCAGAATTCATTCAGAACTCTTTCGAACAATAAAAAAAGTAATTTCATCTTTTTTAAACTATTCATTATATTAAGTGAATTTATGCTGCAAAATTATTTTAGAAATTTATTCATTGAATATTTTTCACTTGTAAAATTTAGGGGAATTTACAAATAAGGGCCAAAAAAGTAAAATAATTACATATAAGGACCCTATTTGGAAAATTTTATTATATCTCATGATACAGTTAACGAAGTTTAATGATTTTGATACCATTCGAATCGTCTCGCCTAGACGGATTGAATGGTACTGAAATTGCTAAATTTAAATTACTGGATTACGAGCTATTCAACACTTTCTAAAATCTGTTTAAATCGTGATATCTCGTTATTCAATAATTAAATTTAGCAATTTTAGTACCATTCGATCCGTCTTGACGAGACGATTCGAATGGTATTAAAATCATTAAATTTTATTCACTGCATCATGAGATATAGTAAAATTTTCTAAAATAGGGCCCTTATATGTAATTATTTTACCTTTTTGGGCCCTTATTTGTAAATTCCCCTAAAATTTATGTAAGCTATACGTAGCGGTAGAATGTGTTTACCAAAGAATTTCCAAGTGATAAATTAGCATTACGAAGAAACGTTCAATCGGGTATTTTCATTTGCATAACTTGGGTTTATATTCATTTAGTATCCTGAAAATGTGAAATTATTTCACGCCTACTCTGAAATATTTCTGGCCAGAATTAATGATTTAAAGATCATCAGCCTGCATTAGTGTAGGACAGTTTCTTAAAATCTGAAAATTGTTCTCGTTCAATCTATTATTATTAAGAATTTCCTTGATTTGCGTGT